GCGAGGCACTTGTTTCTAGTAGCTTCTTGTTACTAGTAGTAAGGCACTTGTTACTAGGTTCCTTTTGCTGGGTTGGAGGTCATCGGGTATCACGGTGCTGTGCTTCGTGGCGGGATTTTCTGGGGATGGGCCGTGCCTGCGGTACCACAAAACTCATTTCCGACTAAGTGAAATTGAAATCGACAGTGAAGAAGGAATCTTGCAAAAATCCGAGCACCAAACCTGTTCGCGTGAGGTAACAAGTGTGGGCATGACGACGACACCGGGCGTCTCAGAGAACCCATAGGGCCCCAAAAGTATTCAAAGCGGTGTCTGAGAGATCCACAAACAACATCAAACAACAAGGCCGTACTCAAAAAGGATACACTTTCTGACACATGCAGCATCATACGCGGTCTTTAGTATGAAGTTGCCAAAACGCATTCTGGTCAATTTGGAAAGACTTCTTTTGTAGGGATGGTAAACATCAATGAACAGAACAGCAATTCCTGTGACAGAAGCAGGTAAATAAACCATCTTCTGCGTTAAGTAATTAGGACTGGGTTCTGGATCACAAGATGGAGTGGCTTTTACTCTCAATGCGCGAACAGAGTTTCAAGTTCTGAACGGAAAGTGCTCTGCCATCGCACGGTGCGAATGGGTTTGGGCGACGCTGAGAACTGAGGACACTCTTTCGGCGACATCAAAGTGCCGAAGGAAACCGAAGATTTTCCTCAAAGAGTTTCTGAAGTAGTCAGCATTTCGCCTTCCAGCCAGGTGCAATTCGAAAAGTATGGAGACATTGATTGGAAACCCATCTGGTCCAAACGAGCGGAGCGTTCCTGCAAAGTCCGCACATCTTCGAGCACTAAACCCAAAGCACCGAGACGTCTCACCGCAGTGGGCGTAGGCCACGCCGCCTGCGCCGGCAGCGCCTGTCCTTCTTCTTTCGTCACCTTCGCCTTCAACGCCTTGTCTGGCAAAGCAATGCACTTGTCTGATAAGGCACTGTGTGTCATAGCCTGAATCGTATTCAAAGGCCGATTGGGACATGGAACTGCTCGATCGTTTGCCAAGCATTTCCTCAAAGGATATACAGCACCAATTTCAAGAACAGCTCCACGAGCATCCAAAGCATGTTGCAAAGGACCAACTCGCGGGAAGAAACAACGCAGTTTTTCAGATTGCATTCGTCTTCTCTTCGAAATTCGCGCCTGTAGTGCACTTCCGTGGTTTTCACAAACTCGGTGCACATAGATATAGTCTCTGGTCGAGATATAGGACGTCACATCCAGCATTATGTAAGCAGGCTCAGTACGTACACAGTACAAAAGGTCTCTGCGCATAGAGAACTGGTACTTCTGATACTTGCTGGTGTTCGATGAAGAAGACTTAGCCCAACAGCGGTCCCAGCCCTTTTTGAGAAGTGCATCTTCGAGTGATCGACCAGTGCTGTACCACTCACTTTCGCTTTTCACGCCCACCATGATATCAATATCACGTTCCACCACATCTATGCCACCTGAGAGCTCGCCGGAACGTGCACCGTGGCGCAAGAATGCAATCAAGGTTCCTCGGCAAGGCCACCAATCCAGAGACAAGTCCTCCAAGGCATCAGCCACTTCAGCAAATGCTTTGTGGTAGAATTCATCACTGATTTCTTCCTGTTCTTGTCGCCGCTCCATGGCTTCCCAGGTGTGTTCAGAGTCAAAAACATCCTGCCACAGCAAGTCGTAGTAGCGCTGCACCCTTTTCCATCCGATCTTCAGGGGCCAACCAACGCCGAGGTCGAACTCCTGAACCTCGGACTCGGATCGTTCAACCTCCCTCCTTGTCGTATCATTGTTTCAACTGGCGATGGCCTCCCACAAACTAGTAGTGGCCTTCAACCTACTAGCGATGGCCTCCAACCGACCAGCAATGGGCTCGCGATGGCCTCCAACCTACCAGCGATGGCCTTCAACCTACTGGCAATGGCCTCCTACCAGCAACAGCCGCCAACCTACTAGCGATGGCAACCTACCCAACGCCTCCAACCTACTAGCTATTGCCTCCAACCTAATACCACCGGCCTCCAACAACCCTCCCTCTCCAAGCACGCTTCTTGTTTGGAAGGACCACCAATGCCAAGGGGGGTGCTGCAGGGCTGGCAGGTCAGCACCTGCAGCAGAGCCGGCCACAACTCCACCACAGGAACAGCAACTTGGGCTGTTTGACTAGCAGAGGGCATCAGCTATGCCATGGGTCACCGAAACTGGGGAGCATGGAACAAAATAGATCAGCCAACCACAGCTACAATCTCAATCCAGCAAAGCTGCCGCCATTGCAATCAGGATGCATGGAGGTGAGGGTTTGTTTGCATGTTCACCTAAAGGTGAACTGGTCCAATCCCCTCTCCAAGCACGCTCCTTTTTTGAAGGGCCACCAGCCACCAGTGCCAAGGGGATGCTGCAGGACTGGCAGCTCTGCAGCAGAGCCCCGCATACCAAACTTCACCAAACAAGGCGTGGTCCTTCCGAGCACTTCCTCTCAGCGGCTCCAAAACAATTCGTGCTTGGAAGTGTCGCTGGACACCGTCTGCCTGCCCAGGTTCAGCAGCGCAAGCCGATCAAGGAATACCCCACCACTCCCAGGTTGTCGCACCACTGGCGTAGGGATACCCACCGCGTCGTGCTGTCAATGCCAAAGTGCTGCTGCTGCTGGCGCTGGAGGACCAGCTGCGCCAAAGCTTCCAGAGCCGCAATGCAACTTTGTAAGTCAGTGGGCCCGCTCCTGAACCAAGAAGATCGGTTGCCTTCAGTCGCGCTAAACCACCCAATGTTTCCAGCCGCAAGCTTGTCCGAGGGACAAAGCAACCAGCCCCCAATGCCCCAGCTGGGCCCTTCTGCAATTGCATCCGCGGCGGCCACTAAGCGGGGCCAGGCGTCTCTACGAGTCGAGTCTTGTTTCTCTACTATGGCATACAGAAAGCGCATCACCCCAATCTCATCTTTTTGTTAGGAAATGCCGGCTCCTGTCTCCCCAAACTTGATCCACACCTTCCCCTGCTTTTGTTTGGCCCAAAGCGCGCTTCGCAAGTCTGTAAAAAGCTTCTCCCTTGTTCAAGCAGCCGCCTGCCTCCATGCGCATCACAAAGCTTGCATCTGTTCAACGCAGAGCTGCTGGGCGATAGCTTGGAAACTAGCTGGAAGCAGCGCACGCCGCACAAGACCAAATCCCAGCCTATTCAAGTCAGCTTGTGACCAACGTCGGCTTTGTGCCACGGCAAAGGGAAGCCAAGGGCACTGTGCACAAACTACCCAAGCTCTAGCCAGTTGTTGACTCTCCTCATCTTCGAGCTTGCGGGCTGAATGGGGCTGGTCTACAAGGCCCGGGTCAGGGCAGCTTGTTTCTGGTACTAACACACCACGGCGATCTTGAGCAGGATGTAGTGACCCCTCTTGTGGCTCATTGCCACAACAGAAACGAAACATGAATACCAAGCGCCGTGTCTTCGGCGGAGGGACACCAATGGAACCAACCTCGAAGCTGCTGGGTCCAACCTCACATTTCATAGCAGCAGGAAAAAACAAGCGCAAGAAACACAACAACATAGATCTGCCAACCACCACTACAACCTCAACCCAGCAAAGCTGCCACCACTGCAATCAGCATGCATGGAGGTGAGGGTTTGCATGTTCACCTAAGGGTGAACTGGTCCCTACCAGCAATGGCGCCCAACCTACTAGCGATGGCCTTGAACTTACTAGCGGTGGCCTCCAACCTAGGATAGTGTTATGTTGGGGTACCTTAAGCCCAATGGGATATGCAACTCCGATGTGAAACGACCAAGGCCATTCCGATGCAACTCAGTGAGACTGCCAAAAGAAACACCTGGGAAAACGGCCCGACACTGGAAAAGCAACATTTCTGGAAGAACACAAACTGCGGTTCAAAGCTGTGATTCAAGTCTGCACCAGCTCATGTAGTGAGTTTGCTGTAGAGTTGCTGGAGTGCCCCCGCTTTTATCTAGCTTGCCGTGGAAAGGGTTCTGCAGGATCATGTTTGGGTTCCATATGCTATGGAAGTTCTTTCCCCTCTGATCCCCTCTGTCTGTGCCGTTCTCCACGCGTTTTGAAGTTGCAATGCAAACCTTGAAGTTCAAGGTCTTGCATTCACTGATCGCCAGTTTGTTCTAAGTATCTCGTGCTGAATCAAACCTTTTTCCGGTTTGCTGTCTGCTCGAAGGCTGAGATGCTTGAGCCAGTAAGCAGTTTTGGTCGGTTTGCTGCGGCACCCTTTGGGTGTCTTGCGGACTTTGGCGTGGCAGAATATGGCAGAACCTTGCAGAACATCTGCTTTGCATTGCTTTGCGCCTCACAGTTGCCTTCTGAGATAATAAGGAATTACTATAAGCCTTCTGAGCTCCTTGCTCCTAGTAGCGATGCCAGGAGCTCCTAGTAGCTTCTTGTTCCTAGTAGTAAGGCCAGGAGCCCCTAGAAGCCCTAGTAGCGATGCCCTTTGCTCGTAAGCAGGAATTACTACAAGCCTTCTGAGTTCTTCTGCGGAATGTTTCAGACTAGTTTCTCTCGCTTCCTACCTCCCTTCCCACCTTGTGTGCTTGGCGACTCTCAAAAAGTTCATTGAGCATGACATTATGGCTGTGGGTCAAAACCGGGCTACCTGTGTTGATCAACGATTATTATGGACAGAATAACTACTGAGGAGGTCAACCAAACGCTGAGACGCACTTACAAGCATTCTTACATGTAGGAGGCAGAACCAGAATTTCAATGCACAAAATTTTGAGAAAACCGTTTGCCACCCGTCGATGCTAGTCCCCGGTCTAAAGTTTTTGGACAAGAACGCCTAAGTAACGGGTAAAAATGCCTGAACGGTGGGAAGAACGCGTACGCAAAAAAAATACTATATAAGACAATACACTTAAAAAACATGCAAGTGAAGCATCGAGTGTTTTCATCACTGTAGAAATCCTGGACCAGTGGTGGGTGGATCCTTATTGCCACCAAAAGGACAAGAACGCCAAGAAGGGACAAGAACGCCTAAGCACAGACAAAGGCGCCTCAACATAGGTAGAAATTCTTCCCAAGAAGAGGTTCTAGGTACATTGCCAATTTGTTTTTTTTTCTTCTGTGTATAGTATACGTAAAATATGGCCTCAGGCCTTGGCATCAATCTGTTGTTGCAGCCATTGGTAGACGGCGTTGAACTCAAGATTCAAAGCAGATGCTTCGCTAAAAGAGTTTGCGTGGAAGTCGGCCGAGTCAGTTGAAAAGGTGTAGATCCTTACCAATAAGCGCTCCGATTGAAGCAGCATCGATTGCAAAACCGCATGAGGACAAACACAAACTACTTCCCGTTTCCTTTGCAGGATTGTTTCTACCAACTGGTAGCTGGAAAGCAAAGGCATTCCACTTTGATAAAAATCGATTGTTGTCGTGCGCATATCCTCTAAAGACAACCAGTCACCAGAGCCAAGGCCAAACCCATTTTGCGTACAGCCGTAGAGTGCTTCCTCCAAATTCGAAAACTGAACTGAATCACAAATCAAATCGAGAACTCGTTCTGGAGGCAAGCTTGACAACAGGTATCTTCGTTGACCCACACAGGGCATCAAGAATAGCCAAGCAAGAACCATCATTTGAGCCCACAGCTACGAGCACATCTGGAGCATGCCATTGTCTTGAATGTGAATTAGTGGAACACATCAAACATCGAACATGCCGCGCTGTCGGCGTCGCATACGGCCACATTCGTCTCAGCCTTCTCAAAAGTGGCTGGCTCGCTCCTGGGTTGAGATTGAGAAATCGAGGCATGCAGAAGAATGCCGAGAAAATGAAGAAACAAACACATTTTGGAAGGATCAAGTCTACAGGTTCGTTGGCTGGGCTATGCCACAGGTTGGGGCTGAGGTCTTGGTTGCGTTTTTCCCGTTCTCAGTTTGAGATGATATTGTTTTTAAATCCCTTGTTGAAAAACTTTGAGATTCAACCATGGAGACGCACTACGCTAGAAACTACAAACATTCAAAAGGATTGGTCATGAATTCTCCCAAACAGCCTTTGAACACTTCACATCTCATTGTATGGTGCTAGTCTTCAGGTCTCTTAAATGGCTGCGTCGCTCCACAGTCGCGCTGAGTTCGGCTGTTGTCATGGTTCTCTCTCAATCAGCATGGCTCTTCTATTTCCCCTGCTTCGTTTCTTGCAAATGTTCAGTCGGGAAGGAGCCAACCAAAAAGAATACTCCGAGCACCTTTACAAAACACAACCCAAACCAAAAATGTGCCGGAGACCCTCAATACAGTTGATAAATTATTAGTGATTATGCGTTTTTTAGCATTGCCGCCTACTACTACTACGACGACGACGACGCGACTATATAAACTACAAACTTGGTAGCTTTGGTGTTGTTTTCTTTATCCACCCACTAGAATCACCACCAATCGTGCCCTTCACTGGCGACACACGCCGCATTTACACGCATGCGCACCCGACCGAGGCCGCGCACACAGGCATAGAGCCATGCAAATGCATTTTCTACCGAGGCCGCGCAAACCGCGTGGCACAGCGACATCACTTTTCGAAACCTTTAGTTGTTAGTTTACAAGCAAAGAATATCGAAGCATCACAATTTCAGGGATTTTATGCAAGAAACTCTAGGGTACTTTTCGGTTTTGAAGCTCTTCCCACGTTCCATCTTGGTGGATCTCAAGGGAGAGCATGTTTTCTAAGTAATAGATAGTACGGATTAGGAGTTGATCAGGAAGCAGGATCAATTCTGTACCCGATTCGGATCAACAAACTGCTTCAAACTGCATTTCTGCATGAAAGCCTGTCTTCCAACGAAGTTGCCCGAAGCTCCAAGGGCCCGGCGACAAGCCACGCAACAAGCTGACAACACCGGCTGTGACCTTGGACGTGCCGTCCCCACGGCAATCAACTCACCCACCAAGCAGTCTGCGAGTCTCAAAAAAGAAGCATCAACCACATGACATAGCAGTCATAGCACGTATAACGAATCGAAGACTTCGTCACTCCAGGTCTCTCCATTTGTCTCCCCAAGGCTCCAGCAGCTGCTGAGAGCAAGAAGCGTGCCGCAAAATTCCAAGCACCGCTGCCTGTCAATCGCTAGAAGCCACGCTGTTTCTAGGTCAAAAGGGACGTGCTACGCGAATGGTGCACAGGCCTGTGACAACCGTCGTTCTCGCCTCCATCGCCGGCCTTCTTCTTGCCCATTGCTTTGGTCACTGCCGGATGACCATCAGCTGTTCAGCATTGCTTGTTGCTTTTGCATTCTTGCGTATGAATTCCTGAAGAAACGGATACTCCTTTATGTCAATTTTGCCCCTGTGCCTGCACCAAATCAAAACTACAATGCTACAAGAATGCGTTGTGTATGGCCGCGTTGTCCATTGAGACGCTTACGAAATGCCAGTGTTTTTTCTGATTGGGTTATGATGAAAGTCAAAGGTGAGCTGTTGGTTGGAAGCAGAGTCTACTCGTGTCACCATGATTCGGCAGGACTCGTAAGACAACGTAGACAACATGCGTGGTGTGATGGGCAGTGTTCGGAACAAGAAGCTACGAACGTAGCTTATTGTTACTAATAGCGAACCTTGTTACTACTAGTAAGGCACTTGTTCCTAGTAGCGAAAGAAGCGACTAGAAGCTACTAGCGCTGTCGGAAGCTCCAAGTGGCTTGATTTTTTACACTTATTGTTCCTAATAGCTTCTTGTTCCTATAGTAGTAAGGCACCTGTTACTACTAGCGATGCACTTGCTCCTAGAAGCGATGCCCTTTTTTACACACTCAGGATAATGACAATCACTCCAAGGCCGTAGGTTGCAGCGACCGCCCACCGTCGGTGGGTCAACCAGCTGGGCAAATCACTCCAGAACCTGCACCGAGCGGAGCAAAAAAGAGAAGAAATCACAAAACGACAAGAAACAAAGAAACAGGTGCCACGCTACTAGGAACAAGAACGCTCCTAGGGGCTCCTGGCATCGCTACTAGGAACAAGAACGCTACTAGGGGCTCCTGGCATCGCTACTAGGAACAAGAACGCTACTATAGGG